CGTAATTTCGATAATTGGTCGTTTTTGTAATATAATATGTTCGGCTTATTTCCCCTTACCGTTTCTCATGCTCTGTATTTCGGTTCATTTCGCCCTTCGATTTATAGTTCAAAAAATAGGTCTTATTATGCGTGTACAAAAAAATATGATCCATTTTTCCTTATTAGGGGTTTGCGCACAGTCACTCTTGCATTGCATCACCGTCATGCAATTGCATGTGTGAAATGCAAATGCCGACCGGCTATGTGCAAACTAAACATAGCTGAAAAACGCAAACCTAATTAATGTATAGCGCAAAAACAAAGAAAACCAAGCAAATACCTTATTATGACCCTATGTCTATTATTCAATATTAGGGTTAATCACATTGTGTTTTACGAAATTCGGGATCTTTTGGAAAATCATTTGTGCTATATATATGACAATGTCCATTACTACATAATTTCGATAATTGGTCGTTTTTGTAATATAATATGTTCGGCTTCTTGCCCCTTACCATTTCTCATGCTCTGTATTTCGGTTCATTTCGCCATTCGATTTATAGTTCGAAAAATAGGTCTAATTATGCATGTACAAAAAAATATGATCCATTTTTCCTTATTAGGGGTTTGCGCACAGTGACTCTTGCATTGCATCACCGCCATGCAATTGCATGTGCGCAATGCAAATGCCGACCGGCTGTGTGCAAACTAAACATAGCTAAAAAACGCAAACCTAATTAATGTATAGCGCAAATACAAAGAAAACCAAGCAAATACTTTATTATGACCCTATGTCTATTATTGGTTTCACATGTTCTCCAAGCTTACCGTAGCTCTGTTTTCATTCTCTCATGTCGTCCACACTTAACCAAATTCATGTCTTCTTCTTTCTCGTGAACTCTTATTTTTTCTTACCGAACATACCAAAATTTAAATTTATCAAATGAACGCAACATACTCAAAGAACGAAACCTCAATTGTTACTAGATTGTTAATGGGTAAATAACTCAATGATATAGCATTCGAGTCAAACATTTCTTTAAACATCACACTATCGCTAATTGCATACAGGGGGTCAAAAATTGCATAAACTGTATGCAATTGCACAAAAACTATATGAAATTGCATATAAGAAATAATATAGCAAAACAATGTGTTGGATGTTAATACTGGTATTAAAATTCTATAGCTAGGAAAGCACCTGCTCTGAGAAATGTGTCTTGCAAAAGTTAACCATCAACCACTTGGATTGAAGAAACCAAAACCAGTTATGAGGTTTCTCAGTTAAAGAACTCATCTTTCTCTTTTGATGCCAACCTCAATTCTCCACTAACAAGCCCAAAAACTCCAATTGGATTCATCATGACCAGAGTTCTTGAGTAATAAATCAAATTGAAAAAAAAAAAAAAAAAAAAAAAAAAAAAAATTCAAGAAAACCAAGACTTTAAAGAAAATCAACAACCTGATTGTTCAAAATTTCATACCTTATTTTGAAGCACAAATCCATAAACCTCATACATGGAAGAAAACAAATCCTCCATAAAATGAAAATTACATGGGTTTGATGGAGAAAGGATCACAGTGGGTCTGATGCTGTGATGAAATTAAGAGAAAATATTAAAATATTAATAATTATTAAAAGAGGGAAAGGAAAAAATCACCAAGATTCAGTCCAAGGCGTTGAATTTTTTCTCCCATCAAAGGCTCTGCAACACAGACATCCTCACTCCATATTCAACACTAAGTCGTTGAATTTCTACTCAAATAAAGGCCTTCCACACCACCCCCGTCGAACTCGACTGAATCACCCCACTCAATCTCCTCTCTGATGGTTCTTGCATCACGGTGTTGGCAGAGAGGAGATGCTCAGATTCCGACTTGGGACAAAGATGAGGATTGGATTTGAGAGAGAGAGAGAGAAAGAGAGAGAGATTGCAAAGATGAAGCAGCTCCAGTGCACGTGACGTCTTCCTCGCGTTCGTCAAAGCTTTTTCGTTTGTTTTCTCAATCACGTGTATTTCACGTGCTCTTTAATAAGAAAGGAGTGAACAAGTCATCAAGTCATTCAATCTCAACCCTTGATTTTTAAAATGAAATATGAACCCTTAGATGATTGGCTGTACTGGTACAGCCGATGCACCACAGAATTTTCGCTAAAAAGGTTGTTTATGTAAATAAATAACAATTTCTATTTTTACTACAGTGGATTCGTAAAGTAAGCCATAGTTGTTGGAGGTCAGGCTTTCGATACTAACCGCTGGCACCCAAATTTTGAATGTTTTTTAACAATCTTGGAAACAGTTTTTAGTTTCTCAAGTTCATTGTGCAAGCATCCTCATATTCTCAAACAATGCCAAAATAGACAGAGTCATAACACTTTTAATATCATGTTTATTTTAGTCATTATTCACAGTTACAACAATTTTATATTAAAATTTAGGCTTAATTACTTCATTGCCCCCTAAAACTTTGAGATATTTAGTGATATATCCATTCTTAGCACTAATATTATAAATAAACCCTACATAATTGAATTTCTATAAACAAACCCAAAAAATGACAACTGGCCTTATTGAATTTAATATTTATTATTAAATTACTTTGATACCCTATTAAGTGTTTTGAGTATTTTTATGAGATTTTGAGGTTGAGCTTGTTTTAAGAAATTGATGGCAATTTTGTAATTTATAAGAAGTTAAAAGCTTTTTTGTTATATTGTAAATGAGTTTTGAGTGTGTTTCTAAAACCCATTTCATATGGGGTATTTTTATAATTTGAGCTCCTATATTGGATATAATAATGAATCTCCCTAAAACTTTTGTCAAATCTCACTTTGCTCCTTCAAACTTAAAATGGCTTACTTTCATACATTTACCGAGATTTAGTGACCCACTTTGCCCCTTATCATTAACTCCATCTAAAACTCTGTTATATCTGATGACGTTGCATAGGTTTATTGGTAATTTCATACATATGGATCATTATACTAATTGAGTGAGTGATGTGACAAGTGGAGCCCACCTCCACATCAAATGAAAATAATTAAATATTCAAAACTCGTGATTTGCCCTCTAAACTTGTACATAACTTTCGATTAACACCTATCTTTTTTTTTAAATTATAGAAAATTAAGGATATGAACTTCTTCTTCTTTTTTCGCCAATTTCCGCCTGCCGTCTAAATCCTCAACTATTTCATCCAATTTTCCATTAAAAATGAGGGCATATTGGTCATTTCATACGTTAAAAATAATAAATATAAAAATTAAAATTAAAAAATTAAAATTTTAAATAAGAATGATAAATTCACCCTCTCTTCGATTTCTTTCCCCCTAAAAAACCCTTAACTTACTCCAATCCTCTACCCAGATCCCACCCACACCCATCCCCTTCCTCAGCTGCACTAACCCCTTAACCTGCCCAACCCAGCCCTATCCACCCCACCAAATCTCGTTTAAGATAACGAAAGTGGGCCATTTTAAGTTTGGAGGGGAGAAGTGGGATTTGACCAAAGTTTTAGGGGGCAATAGTGTAACTAAGCCAAAAATTTACTAAACAGTTTTGACACTGCTTGCTAATTATTTTCAAAGTATAGCATAAGCAACTTTTTTTTTAAAGGTGATAGCAATTCCTAACTGGGCCTTAGTGGCTTTACACCTGCCTGGGTCCGCATCTGTTGGGTTTTGTTTTATGTCTTCCGAGCACAATGTGTTCGACAAAATGCCTCAATGTGTTTCGAAGTACTATTTTTAGAACTTGATATGCTATGCATGATTTGCCTCAATTTGTTTCGAATTACAAATTAAAAACTCTACACAACACCCCCCTTCATAATCATATATTTAAACAGTAGTTCTACGGCCCAGCTTATGTACCAACTTTTGGTTACCAACTGATATGACATATAACATGGATTGCCATGTCATGTGCCACATCATCAATTTTAATTTAGTTAATTTAGTATTTTATTAAATATTTTCATTTAAATCATTAAGCAGTTTAACAATCCCTCCCCCGCCACAAAAATATTATCTCAACACCATCGCCGCCGCACTATCATCCTTCAAACATCTATGGAGCCGATATGGCTTTTCTCTTTTGCTGGGTTACCAACGGCCTAGAAATTCCAAGTTGATTTGGGGAAATACTATGATGGAATGGAGAGGATGATATGGCACCCCGGATTAATCTCAAATAGTACGTAGTATTCAGTTCCATGGATATGTGCAACCAAGCAACAATATTTTTCCAGATTTGAACGGAGGGAGGATATGCCCCCGATTTGGGTCTAAAGACCTTAATTATTCCTTGATTGGATTCTCATAGTTAATGATCTTTTGAAAATTCAGATTTGTGTTAATTTCATTTGTATATCTCTTTCTTTAATCGATAGCCAAAACAATTTTATGAGTTGAAACTAGCTTCTTAATGAATAGGGGGGGTATAATGTGGCGATGGAGGCTGGTTAGGTTAAATTAAAATGGTGAGAATGAATTTTATTTATTTAGAAGATGATAAAATTAAATAAAATTAAAAGAGATGATGTGGCACATGATATGGCAGTCTATCTCATATGCCACATCAGTTGGTATATGTAAAAGTTGATACACAAGTTGGTGCCTATAGCATTTTGATATTTAAAACTTAAATGTTAAAATAATTCCTGTAGTTTTACCTATACCGGTCAATTTAGTCTCGTGTTATCAATTTGGCAACATTTCTGTTTAAACTTAAATATGGTAGAATTGGAAAAGCCCTCCTTGATTGCTGCTGGCTTGAAAGAGTCATACAATCATAATTTGTTGCGATATTTGCTACATTCCACAAATATAAAGTAAAACATAAAAGATACACACTAGATATTCCATGACTAACTAGACTTTTGACCAACAAAAGAAAAAAAGAGCGTAATTAAATTAAAATATGAAACCAGAAAGGCAGCCACAATTCTTATTCTTAGATCTTAAAATAACCTAGGCACAAGAAGCAGTCCAAACTTGCGTTGTTCTTCCTAATCAATTCAACGTCTCCACCACCTTTGATTTATGTGAACATGTCTTCGATGAATACCAATTCTTTCCTCCAATTGAGGGAATATCTTGAGAAGGATGTTGTACATAGCTCTGTAATACCACTTACTCCATCTCTTGCACAACACAAGTGACCCAATGGCAACTCCAAAGCCAAATGTGAATCCAATTTCGACACTGATAAGATCCCAATTAACCTCAGGATGATGCCCAGAATTTGGAGGCCTTCCATTCACTGTTGGTGGTGGTGACAAAGGAGGCCCCCATAGTCCTTTATTACCTGTAAAGGAGGCTTCTGGAAATGTTGAAAACTGTGTACTGGTTGGGATCCTGCCGACCAATTGATTATTTGAGAGATTCAAGAACGAAATGAAAGTAAGCTTTTCCAACTCTTGTGGAATGTGCCCGCTCAGCTTGTTCTGTGACAGGTCCAAGCACTCGAGTGCACTCATGTTACCAAATGAGGATGGGATTTCGCCTGTGAAAGCATTGCTGGACAAGTTAAGGACATGTAGTGATTTAAATTCTCCCATTTCCTTAGGTATTGGTCCACTGAAATTGTTGCATGAGAAGTCAATCAGGGTGAAGATAGATAGAATCTTTACCATATACATCTCTGAACCTTTGTTGGTAACTGTTATACTTATACCATACTCAAAGCCCAAAGAAACCTCCTCAAATCCCACAGAACCATACCCAAAGCCCAATTTAACCTCCTCAAATCTCAAAGGACCGTTTCCATTAATAAATCTAAAAGAACCACCATTATATATCATTCTAGGCCTGTGGACTTTCCCATCATATCCATTATAGCTTCGGTCCGTTGAATACTTCTCATTATCTATCATTCCAAGCTTGTGGACTTTGAATGTCAACGGGAAACCATCTTCGGTAACCATCATTTTCTGCCATGTTCTCCAAAGTATTCCTTGTATTTCACCACGGAAATTGTTGTGAGCTAGGTCTATGATTTGAAGCCCTGGCCAGGTGCCATTGGTGTTGAGACATTCAATGCCTCCATAAAAGTTGTTAGATCGCAAAACAAGGACACGCAAGGTGGAAATGCTTTTCAACAAGCATGGAAAGCTGTCTGTTATATTATTGTTCCCAATGTTTAAAACCTCCAGGTTAGTGCAATTAGCTAGAGATTTTGGAACCTGGCCACCTAACTGATTTCTACTGACCTCTAGAATTTCCAGTGAACTATCTTCAGAAACTTCAACATTAGAAATAGTTCCAGTGAGGTTGTTTCTCGCTAAGTTAAGTACACTGATATCGCGTATTGCAGTCAAGCATTGGGGAATCATGCCACTTAGAGAATTATTAAACATATCAAGAATCTGAATGTTTGGGGCATTGCATATTGATGTTGGAATGAGTCCATGCAAGTTATTGCTCCAAAGAGAAAAGAATAGTGTGTTTATGAGGAAATCACCAATATTTGATGGTATACAGCTGAAATTATTTCTCGAGTAATCCAGATACTTGGCAAATGGTAGGAAAGTGGGGATTTGTCCCTGAAGTTGATTTGAATGAAGGTCAACAGTTTCCACTGTAGAATTACATAAAGGAGTTTCCAAAGTAACCAAGGAGTTACAAGAAAGATTTAGGGAATCAAGTTGATTGGAACACCAAATCCAATAGGGTATCTTGCCCTGGATATGGTTTTCTGAAAGGTTCAAACTGGATAATGTGGGTTGATTTCTCAAGAAATATGGGATTGTTCTCAATTTATTAGCAGCCAAATTCAATGAAACAATTTGAGGAAATGAGGAATATGAGGAATCAGTTCCATTGTATAAACTCAGCAAGCTATTGTACGAAAGGTCGATGTTCGTAAGATATTTCAGCCGGTGAGGGCCATTGAACGGAAAGGCACTGAAATTGTTGGAAGAAAGACAAAGTGATTGAAGGCCTCCAAAATTAAATATAGACACCGATATTTGTCCTTCCAAATTGTTGAAGCTTAAATCAAGGGTAACTAAATTGGAAGAGACATTAGAAAATGCAAGTTCACCAGAGAATTGATTGTGGGAAAGCTTTAGTTGTGACAATAAGGGAAGAGAAAAAAGTGACGACGGGATTGATCCAGTAAAATTGCATTTGGAAAGATCCATCGTGGACAACATTTTGAGGTTGCTAATTGATTCAGGCAGTGACCCTGAAAAGTTTGTCTGGCGTAGAATCAAGGACCGAAGAGATCCATTATTCTTGGGAAATTCTGGCAAGAAACCACCAAGTTTAAAATTACCCGAAAGGTCAGTAGTTTGTAGAGTAGGTACCTGAAAGATCTCTTTGGGAAATGTTCCATTCAACTGACAACCACTGAGACTCAAGGAAGTCAACTTTGAAAAATTGGAAAAGAATCCTGGAACCATACCAGAGATGTCGTTCCCACTCAAGTCCAACATCCTCAGGTTTGAAAAGTTGGCAAAGGATCCTGGAATTGGATCGGAGATGTGGTTCCAATTCAAGTCCAACTCACTCAGGTTTGGAAAGTTGGCAAAGGATCCTGGAATTGGACCAGAGATGTTGTTCCCACTCAAGTCCAACACCCTCAGGTTTGAAAAGTTGGCAAAGGATCCTGGAATTGGATAGGAGATCTGGTTCCAACTCAAGTTCAACTCCCTTAGGTTTGGAAAGTTGGCAAAGGATCTTGGAATTGGACCGGAGATGTAGTTCGAACTCAAGTCCAACACCCTCAGGTTTGAAAAGTTGACAAAGGATCCTGGAATTGGACCGGAGATGGAGTTCCATCTCAAGTCCAACACCCTCAGGTTTGGAAAGTTGGCAAAGGATCCTGGAATTGGACCGGAGATCTGGTTCTCACTCAAGTCCAACACCCTCAGGTTTGGAAAGTTGGCAAAGGATCCTGGAATTGGACCGAAGATCAGGTTCTCACTCAAGTTCAACACCCTCAGGTTCGGAAAGTTGGCAAAGGATCCTGGAATTGGATCGAAGATAGTTTTGCCGCTAAGGTCAAGACCAACAACATGCCCATTGCTAGTGCAAGTAACACCAACCCAAGAACAACAGTCGGTGCTTGAATTCCAAGATATGGGCGGGGCTAGCCCTGAAGATGGATCAAATTGAAGGCTTTTCTTCAAATGGAGCAACGATTGTTGCTGATCTTTAATACACTGGCTGTGAACTGCAGGGAGGAGGATATTGAAGCAGAAGAGGAACAAGTAATGCAGCAAAGTTTTCATTTTGGAAAAACCTTTTACTTTGAGAGACGCTAGCTGATGAGGGAAAGTTTTGATGAGAAAGAAAGGTTGTGCTGTCTTTAATATATACATATCATATATGTAATTATATGCATGGTAGAAATAGAATTGGAATACACCACTTAGCTTTGATGAGATTAAATCTTAGTCGTCGTTGATGGAACAAATCATACATGGTTGGCTTGACTTGTTGACTTAAAGGTCTTTTTTTCTTTTCTTTTTTAAATTGAACAAATCATACAAATAATACAGTGAGTAATCATATCTTTCATGATTATTATACATATATATTTGATCTTAAAAAGCAACTTTTAAACATCAATCTTAGATTATGTCAATTTTATCATTATTGTTTAAATTAAATCTCTTGCAATTCAAGAGCACATTATAAAGTCAGTCAATTTTTTTTTCAATTCCGTATAAAATACAGGACTTCAACTGCTATAACTACAAGAACCAGGGTGGAAAATTCCTTCTAAAGAAAATCATTGTTCTTTTGTTTTTGTGGAATGAGTCAATGTACGCTAGAGATTGGGTTTAGAAGGCTTGATTGGTTCTTATTGTTCATCGAGACTAATTATACTGCCATATCTCAAGTTCTCAACTGATTCTTACTAAACTTATTATGTGTAATATTTAAGCGTTTATCTGCTAAAAGAAAATAAAAAATAATATATTAATTGTAGGTTTTGTTGTTCCCAAAAAAATGAGGAGAATTTATCAAAAATAACCAAAACTTGATCCTTAATTTCAAAAATGTCAATTTTTGTAAAATATTTCAAATATAGCAAAAAACTCACTTAAATAGACACAAATGCCCTCAAATTTAAAACCCGTATAAACCTAAAAAATAAACCTTATTAAATAAAACTTTGGAATATTTTTAATCCACGTTTGTACAGAAGAACAGAAATTGAAATATATAATCTTATATATTGATATTTTAATCAATTTAAATTTAGTCTCATCCAAGCATCACCAAACATCGGTTAAGTGTTATTCAACTTAAGCCAATTCGAGTGAAGACAATTATGAGAATTGTTCACGCCAAGACAATCTTCCGTAACAAACGAGCTGAAGGGACCAACTTGGCAAATGACTGCAAGACTTGTTGCCGGATCAATTGCCCAAGTCTGTTCGAATAACACCATTATTTTTCTTCTATGATGGATCAATCCGCCGAGTGTTCCCCACACACATAAATGCTACACCGGCTTCTCAAAGAAGCTAATAAGTTTCAAAATTGGCAGCCCATCCCACACGTCACGTTGCCTTTTGAAAGCCACACAGCCATATTTGTACAATTTGAGTGACAAAGTCAAAAGAATTTTCCACAGAAAAGAATTGATTTGTAGGCCAAAGAAAAATCAAATCATGATATAAGTTAGTGTTCCCAACATTTTCCACTAAAAAATTATATCCTTGTTGTTGAGCTTGGTTGGATTTTACTTTTTGTTGTATTGTTGTGCCTTTTTGTGGTTTCTTAATAAAATTTAGGGTTTGTCCAATATAGGTCCCTACAATTTGAGAATTTATCAAAAATAACCAAAACTTGATCCTTAATTTCAAAAATGTCAGTTTTTGTAAAATATTTCAAATATAGCAAAAAACTCACTTAAATAGACATAAATGCCCTCAATTTAAAACCTATATAAACCTAAAAAAAACCTTATTAAATAAAACTTTGGAAATTTTTAACCCACATTTGTACAGAAGAATAGAAATAGAAATATATAATCCTATTTATTGATATTTTAATCAATTTAAATTTAGTCCTAATCCAAGCATCACCAAACATCGGATAAGTGTCATTCAACTTAAGCCAATTCGAGTGAAGACAATTTCTGAGAATTGTTCATGCCAAGACAATCTTCCGTAACAAACGAGGCTGAAGGGACCAACTTGGCAAATGACTGCAAGACTTGTTGCTGGATCAATTGCCAAGTTTGTCCGAATGACACCATTATTTTGTCTTCTTTGATGGATCAATCCGCCGAGTGTTCCCCACACGCATAAATGTTGCACCGGCTTCCCAAAGAAGCTAATAAGTTTCAAATTTGGCTGCCCATCCCACACGTCACGTTGCCTTTTGAAAGCCGCACAACCATATTTTTACAATTTGAGTGACAAAGTCAAAAGAATTTTCCACAGAAAAGAATGATTTGTAGGCCAAAGAAAATCAAATCATGATATAAGTTAGTGTTCCCAACATTTTCCACTAAAAAATTATATCCTTGTTGTTGAGCTTGGTTGGATTTTACTTTTTGTTCTATTGTTGTGCCTTTTTGTGGTTTTCTTAATAAAATTTAGGGTTTGTCCAATATAGGTCCCTAATTTTTTATTTCCTAGACATATACCCATCATTCTATGAATCTATGTGTAAAACCCAATTTTAAACTTAAATGACTAGTAAGATATAAGAGGTCATAATATTCCTATGTTTTTACATCGTTGCCATCAAACTTCATATTTTATTTATAATGTATTCCGAGCATTTCATTAACTTCCATAATTGAAATTAAAACTCCATATTAATACCTAAAATGCAAGTTAAATATAAAAGGGAAGTAAAAACCATTGAAGTTAGGCAAGGAAGTTTAAAGTGCAGTAAGACAGAGAAAACTTTTATCTTGATGTGAATGGAAAAAGTCTGGCTTATGTTTCTTATGCTTCACAATTCAGATTCACTGTATACAATTTTTTGTTTAATTCACCAAAAAAAATAATAATTGTTGTTGGATGTCTACCCTATACGTAATATAATATAGTACTAGCCTCTCCGCAAACGCTTCCGTGCCTATGAGAGGCTTAAAAAAAATATATATTTTAGAATTAAAAAGATAATGGGTAGTTGTGTTCCATAAAAATAGGATTCATTATCTAATTTTTCTTTCAATTTTAATTTTTTTAATATGAAAATGTGTGAATTTACAATATTATCCTCATTAATTAATAATTTTAATTCTTAATGTTTGGATTAACAAATGGCATTTCTGGTATTTTGAATATTTCACCATTTTCTGCCTTTTGCTTTATATATACAGATGAAGAATAGACGAAGAAGAAAGTGAATGAAGAATCAAGGAAGAACTGCACTCATTGTTTGAGTAGGGCAGCAATACGTCTGCAAACGTATGTACAAAGATTCCCAATCTAATAAGGTTTTCTTTAGGTTTATGTGGGTTTTAAATATGTGGGCATTTGTGTCTATTTAGGTGAGTTTTTTGCTATATTTGAAATATTTTACAAAAACTGACATTTTTAAAATTGGGGGTCAAATTTTGGTTATTTTTGATAAATTCTCAAAAATGAGCGGGTTTAACACACTAGTGCAATATCAACTAAGACTTGCATCATGCATGCAGTACTTTGCTTACTTCCCAACTAGCAGATTGTAATCCAGAAATTCTCTGTGCATTTTATTCCAAGTTAAACCCAATTAAACTCGAATTTTTAAATATTTAATAACCAAAGAAGCAAACTCTACACTTTTTTTTTTGCAATGGGATATTAATATGTCGGATTGAAAGACTATGAACATTGTGGAAATTGTGATGTGAATGTAATGTTGCTTTATGTATTGACTGTTGACATTAAAGTCTTGCCCTATCTTGTGTAGTGGACCCGGCTACAGTTTACACGGTTTCCTACCTACTTGGATTTTTGGATGAGTATTGACCGGGCTAAGATCAATTAGTCATAACTCAGAGCCCAGTCGAGAAAGCATATGATTTTTGTGGTATGGGATTCCCATTATATCATATGCACGTATATGTTCATGTTGATTTCTGGGCTGGATGAGGAATTCTCCATATTCTTGTGTTGAAGAAAAATGTGAAAAATGTGAACCTCCCAACATATTTTATCATCACTAATTAAATAATGAAATTTTATTATTTTAGGTTCCACCCATTCGAGACGCACTGTTTCTTAATTACAATCCCATGCTTAGAGGGAACACCCTTTGATTCCATCATAAATAAACAGAACGTGTGTGTTTGGTTTTGTGGCAACTCTCAAGTCTAACTCAGGGTGCCTCTGTATCCCTTGCGGGAATCAAGCCACTCGTAGTTCAAAGTTTTGAAATGAATAAATGACTCATTGCAAAGGGGGAATTTGAATGAATTTGACTAAAAAAGTGTTTGAGTGAATTTAGCTGAATAAACCAACCACAGATTCGATTTGATATGTGTTTTAGGCTGAATTTGGTTAAGAATAAACCAGGGATTCTGTTTGGATTTGAGATTTGGGAAATTTAGTTGATGTAACCAGTGATTCAAATTTGGTTGCGGTTACGTCTATTGGGATGCTAGACTGTCAACGTACCCTTAATGAGATCAAACCGACGTAGTTCCAAATTTAGAAATTAATGGTTAAGTGTGGCCCACTAATTTAGAATTCGTGTCTTTGAAACAAATTTGAGATTTTAAGATTTTCATAGGTAAATGACCCATGAGAAAAATTGGAAATTAATGGGTAAGTGTGGCCCACTAACTTAGAATTTGTGTTTGAGATATTTGAACTTAATCTCATTGAAATTTTCATGGGTAGATGATCCATGGGGAAAAATTGGAAATTAATGGGTAAGTGTAGCCCACTAATAGAGAATTTGTGTTTGAGATATTTGAATTTAATGTCATTGAAATTTGCATGGGTAGGTGACGCATGGGAAAAATTGGATGGTTTTGTACCATTTTTCTTATTGTCAATGTCCAAGAAAATAAAGAGCAATTTTGATGAACCCACTAATTTTCTACAATTGACATTTGCATTTGGGAAAGTGTTGGGCGAATTTGGTTAGAATAACTAGGGATTTAAATTTGGTTGCGGTTGCGTCTATGGGATGCTAGAATGCCTACGTATCCTTGATGGGATCAAACCAACGTAGTTCAAAATTTAGAAATTAATCGGTAAGTGTGGCCCACTAATTTAGAATTCGTGCCTTTGTGACAATTTTGAGATTTTAAATTTTCATAGGTAAA